AGGGGTTAATGGGGGAGGGGTCAATGGGGGAGGGGTCAATGGGGGAGGGGTAAATGGGGGAGGGGTTAATGGGGGAAAGGGGCGGGGCTTATTTGGGTTTTTTGGGTGGTTTTGGGATGGTTTTCGGTGGTTTTGGGGCAGTTTTTTCGGTGGTTTTCGGGTGGTTTTGGGGCAGTTTTTTGGATGTTTTTTGGGGTGGTTTCAGGTGTTTTTGGGGCAGTTTTTGGGGGTGTTTTTAGGGTTCCATACCTGCCGTCAGGGGCAGCCCTGGGGCCAAAGGGGAGTTTGGGGTTGTTTTGGGTGTTTTTGGGGCAGTTTTTGGCTGATTTTGGGGCAGTTTTTGGCTGATTTTGGGGCAGTTTTTGGGTGTTTTGGGGAGGGTTTTTGGGGCAGTTTTTGGGGTGTTTTTGGTGGTTTTGGGTCCATACATACCTGCCGCCGGGGGCAGCCCCGGTGCCGAGGGGGGGGTCCCGGCCGTGCCCCCTTTTGTGGGGGGGGGGTCGCAGCTGTGCCAGGGCCCTGCGGATGCCCCCGGGGTCGCTCGGGACCACCCGGTCCAGGCGGAACACGGCCGAGGGGGGGGGCGGGGCAGCGCCAGCCCCGGGGGGGCCCCGCCCGAGCCGGGGGGGGCGGGGGGAGGGGCCGGGGGCTCCTCGGGGTTACGGCTGCCAAAGGGGGAGGGGGAGGGGGAAGGTGAGAGAGAGACCCCCCCCCAAAAATACCCCAAAAAAAAATCCCAGAAATTCTCAGCCCATTCTAAACCCTCCAAGAGCCCCCTCGGACCCCCAAAGCCCCCCCCCAATTCATTCCAAAGTGACTCAAGACCCCCAATTCCACCCACAACCCCGAGACCCCTCCCCAAATTCCCCCAGCCCCTCCCAGACCCCCAAAATCCCCCCCAATTCATTCTAAAGTGACTCAAGACCCCCAATTCCACCCCCACAACCCCCTCCCCAAATTCCCCCAGACCCCCCCGAATCCCCCCCCCACCACCCCCAGACCCCCACGCCCAGACCCCCAGCACCCCCCAGATTCATTCTGAGGTGACCCAAGCGCCCCCACATCCCCCCCCCCCCCCACCCGCAGCCCCCTCCCCAGTTCCTCACCCGCGGTTTCGGGGCGAGGGCCACCCCCTCTTGCCGTCCCCCCCCTCTGGTGCTCCGGCCCCCCCCGCTGCGGCCGCCCCCGCCCCCCCCGTGCTGCTGCGGCTGCTGCTGGGGGGGGGCGGAGTTTTGGGGCGGGGCCGGGGGCGGGCCCCCCGCGGGAGCCCCGCCCCCCCCGGAGCGGCGCTGGCTGGAGAAGCTGCGCTTGGCCAGGCGGGGGCTGGGCGGGGCGTTTGGGGGAGGGGGCGCTCCCGAGGGAGGGGGCGGGGAGGGGGGAGGGGGCGGGGCCCCTGGGCGGGGGGGCCGCCGGGGGCGGGGGGGTCGCGCTCGGGGCCGGGGGGGGCCCCCCCTGCGCCCCCCCAGGTCGGAGCTCTCCGAGGCCGTTTCCCATTGGTCCGAGTTGTGCTCGGGGGGAGCGGGGGGGCCCGCGCCGGGAGGGCGGGGCCGGGGCGGGGGGGCGGGGCGGGGGCGGGGCCGGGGGCGGGGCCGGGCTCCTGGCGGTGCAGGCGGCGGAACCGGGGGGGTTTGTCCTGGTGCTGCCCCCCCCCGCCCGTGCCGCCGCCGCCGGGGGGGGCGCTCCGAGCCCGCCCCGCCCCCCGGCCCCGCCCCGCGCGGGGGCTGCTGGGATTGGGGGAGGGGCTGCTGGGAGGGCGGGGTCCAGGCCCTCGCCCCGCCCCCACCGCCCGCCCCGCCCCCTCCGGGACGGGACCCCCCGGGGGGTGAAGACGCGGCCGCCGCGGGGGGGGGCGCGGGGGGGCAGCCCCGGGGGGGCGTGGTGGGGGTGGGGCGGGGGCGGGGTCTGGCTGCCGGCCCCGCCCCCCGCCCCTCCCCCCCCCGCGTCCGAGCTCTCGGAGCCGCGCAGGCGCCGCCGGTGGGGGGGGGGCGGGGGCGGCTCCTCCTCGTACTCGGAGCCTTCGCTGCGGGGCTCGGAGCCCGGGGGGGCGGGGGGGGCGCCGGGCCCCGAGGGGGGGGGAGGGGGGGGGCGGGGCCTCGGCGCTGAGCGCCCCTCCCCCCCACGGGGGCGGGGCCGCGGAAGCCGCGGAATTCCCGGGACGCGGAGGGGGCGGGGCGGCCGCGGGCCCCGCCCCCTCCCCCGGTGGCTGCGGGGCCCCCCCCGGTGCCGCCCCCTGCCCCCCCCCCGGCCCCGCCCCCCGTAGGAGCCCCGGAAGCCCCGGCCCCGGGCGAAGAATTCCCCGCGCCCCCCCCGCGGGGCGCCCCCCCCTCTGCGGAGCCCCCCGGTCCCGGTCCCGGTCCGTGGGGGCGGGGTCGCGGCAGCGGCGCCGGGAGGGGGAGGAGCCCGCCCCCCTCCCCCACCGCCCCCCGCCCCCCCCGGGGGCGCCCCGGGGTCTTTGGGGGCCGTGGGGGAGGGGCTGGGCTTGGCTTTGGGGGGGGCTTTGGGGGAGGGGTCCTCGCCCATCCCCCCAGGCCCCCCCTCCTCCTTTTGGGGCGGGGCTTTCTTGATGGGCCCCGCCCGCCGGGGCGGAGGGGGCGGGGTTTCCTCGGAGGCGGGGGGAGGGGCGCGGCGGGGGGGGGCCGCCCCCTGCCCCTGCCCCGCCCCCCCCCGGGCCGGGGGTCCCCAGCGGGTCTCGGTGCGAGCCCCTCCCCCACCCCCGCCCCGGGGGGGTTTGTGGGGGTCGGGGGGGGGCGCGGGGGCGGGGGCGGCGCGAGGCTCTCCCCCCTGCCCCTCCCCCCTCCCTCCTTGGGGGGCCCCCCAGCGCTGCCGCCGCCCCTCCCCCCGCCCCGAACTCGTCCTTGGGCGGTTTCTGGGGGGGGCGGCGCCGCTTTTTTGTTTGGGGGGGGCTCCTTGAAGGAGGGGGGGGCTGGGCGGGGGGGAGGGGCCGGCGGCGCCGGGGGGGAGGGGGCGGCTCCGGGGGGTCGCGTCGCTCTGGGGGGGGGGCAGGGCCCAGGGCCGGGGGGGGGGCGGAGGGGGCGTGGTCGGGGCGGGGTCGGCGGCGGAGGGGGGAGGGAAGCGGGGGAGGGGCGGGGCGCCCCCTGCCCCTCCCCCGTTCTCGAAGGGGGGGGGCGTAGCCGTAAGGGGGGGGGGGGCGCCCCCGGGGGTCCCGCAGGCGAACGGGGGGGGTCTCACTCCTGGGGGGGGGAAGGAAAACGGGGGAGTTAAAGGGGGGGGGGGCGGGACCCCCAAAATCTCCCTAAATTCCCCCTGACCCCCCCCAATCATTGCAGCCCCCCCGACCCCCCAAAATCCCCCCCAAAACTGCCCCCGACCCCTCCCAGTATTTCAGCCCCTCCCCCTCACCTTAGCCCCCCCCAGGCCCCCCCAGACCCCCCCCCCATAATCCCCCCCATAATCCCCCCTCCCCCCCTCACCTTCGCCCCCTTGCTGTCGTCGTCGCCGGGGGGGGGGGCGCAGGGCCGGGGGCAGCCCCCGCGTTTCGGGGGGGGGGGGTCCCGCGAAGGCCTCGCCCCCCCAGGAGGGTTTGGGCTGGGGGGGGGAGGGGTCGGCCCCGCCCCCTCCCCCCGGGGGGGGTCCCGCGGTCCCGCAGGGCCGGGGGGGGAGGGGCGGCGGCGGGGGGGGGGCGCTCGAAGGGCTCCGAGGGGGAGCCCCCCCCTCCCCCTCCCCCACCCCCCGCTGTCCGAGCGCTCCCCGGGGCAGCAGGCCTGGAATGGGGGGGGGGGAAACGGGGTTAGAGACCCCCCAAAATTACCCCAAAACATACAGAGAACCCCCCAAAAAAATACCCCAAAATTAACCCAAAAATACCCCAAAAATACCCCAAACATACAGAGAACCCCCCCAAAAAAATACCCCAAAATTAACCCAAAAATACCCCTAAAATACAGGGACTCCCCCCCCAAAATACAGAGACCCTCCCCAAACATACAGAGACCCTCCCCAAAAATACCCCAATAATACAGAGACCCCCCCCCAAAAATACCCCAAAAATACAGAGACCCCCCCTCTCAAAAATACAGAGACCCCCCCAAAAAATACCCCAAAAATACAGAGACCCCCCAGGAATGACCCAAATTATCAGAAACCCCCCCAAGAATAACCCAAATAAATCAGAGACCCCCCCCAAAAATACCCCAAAAATTGCGGCCCCCCCCCCCCATTTAAGAGACCACCCCCAAAACACCCCCAATAAAACAGAGACCCCCCCCCCCAAATGCTCTGCAGGTGAATGAGACCCCCCCCCCCAAACCCCCCCAAACCCCCCCAGACCCCTCCCAACCCCCCCTCACCCGAGGGGGGCACTCCGGGGGGTCCGGGGGGGTAGAAGTCGACGTGGGGGGCGCGGGGGTGGGGCAGCAGCCGGGGGTCCACGTAGGGGGGGGGGGGCAGCATCACCCAGCGGGGGTCGAAGCCCAACTGGGGCAGGGCCGGGGGGGGCGCCCCAGGCCCCCAAAGAGTTTGGGGGGCCCGGGGGGGGCGGGGGGCGCCCCCAGAGCCCCCAGGGATGGGGAGGGGGCGGCGGCCGGGGGCGGGGCCGGGGGGGCCCGTGCTGCTGCTGCTGCTGCTGCCACTGCTGCTGCTTGAGGAGCTGCTCCTGGGGGGACACGGGGTGAGACCCCCGCCCCAATTACCCAGAGACCCCCGGCGTGGGGACACGGGGGAGACCCCGCCCCAATTACCCAGAGACCCCGCTCCAATTACCCCAAACTGGGGACACGGGGAGACCCCGCCCCAATTACCCAGAGACCCCGCCCCAATTACCCAAACTGGGAGAAATGGGGTGAAACCCCGCCCCAATTACCCAGAGACCCCGCCCCAATTACCCAGAGACCCCGCCCCAATTACCCAGAGACCCCACCCAAATAACCCAGAGACCCCGCCCCAATTACCCAGAGACCCCGCCCCAATTACCCAGAGACCCCCGCCCAAATAACCCAGAGACCCCGCCCCAATTACCCAGAGACCCCGCCCCAATTACCCCAAACTGGGGACACGGGGTGAGGCCCCGCCCAATTACCCAGAGACCCCCCACCCCAATTACCCAGAGACCCCGCCCCAATTACCCAGAGACCCCGCCCCAATTACCCAGAGACCCCCGGGGTGGGGAAACGGGGGGAGACCCCGCCCCAATTACCCAGAGACCCCGCCCAAATAACCCCAGAGACCCCGCCCCAATTACCCAGAGACCCCGCCCCAATTACCCCAAACTGGGAGAAATGGGGGTGAGACCCCCGCCCAAATAACCCCACAGACCCCCAGGGTGGGAGGAACCATCTGAGACCCCTCCCCAAGGACCCCCTGATTGAAACCCCCTGAATGAAAACCCCACTCAGGGTCCCCAAAATTGGGGCCATGGGGTGAGACCCCTCCCCAAAAATCCCCAAACTGGGGCACACCCAACCCCCCCTGCCAGACCCCGGTATTGAGGGGGGGTCTCCCCGTTCCCAACCCCACAACTCAGCCCCCTCCCTAAATGCCCCAGCCCCTCCCCAGTTCCCCAGCCCCCTCCCCAATTTCCCAGCCCCCTCCCCACCTGCTGCTGCCGCTGGAACCGGGGGGGCAGCGATTTCTGGTACTTTGGGTACTGGGGGGGCTGCGCCGGCGGGGGGGGCGGGGCCTGCCGGGGGGGAGGGGCCGCCCCCCCCTCGCCCTTGGGGTCTCCCCCCCCCTTGGGGGGCGTGGCCACGGCCGGGGGGGGCGGGGGGGGGCTCCTCGGGGGGCTCCGGGGGCACCTCCAGGCCTGGGGGCTCTGCTGGGGGAGGGGAAAAAAAAGGGGAGAGGGGGAAAGGGGGGGGGTCAGGGGGTGTTTGTGCCCCTCCCCAAATCCCCCCCAGACCCCTCCCCAAATTCCCACCTGCCCCTCCCCCAAATCCCCCCCAGACCCCTCCCCAAATTCCCCCCCTGCCCCTCCCCAAACTCCCCAGACCCCTCCCCAAATTCTGCACCTGCCCCTCCCCAATCCCCCCCAGACCCCTCCCCAAATTCTGCACCTACCCCTCCCCAATCCCCCCAGACCCCTCCCCAAATTCCGCACCCGCCCCTCCCCAAACCCCCCTGAGCCCCCCTCCCCAAATTCCCCCCCAGCTCCTCCCCAATCCCCCCCCCCGAGCCCCTCCCCAAATTCCGCACCCGCCCCTCCCCAATCCCCCCGAGCCCCCTCCCCAAATTCTGCACCTGCCCCTCCCCAATCCCCTCAGACCCCTCCCCAAATTCCGCACCTGCCCCTCCCCAAACCCACCCAGCTCCTCCCCAACCCCCCCCCGAGCCCCCTCCCCAAATTCCCCACCTGCCCCCCCCCCAAGCCCCCTCCCCAAATTCCACCTGCCCCTCCCCCACCGCTCTCCTTCTCCTCCCGCGGTTCCGGGGACCCCTGTGGGTGGGGGAGGGGCGGCGCCGGCTCCTCCTCCTCCTGCTCCCGCTGTGGGGGGAGGGGTCCCGGGGGGGTCTCGGTGCCGCCGGGGGGGGGTCCCGGCGCCGCCGGGGCCGGGGGGCGGCGCTCGGGGGGGGCCCCGAATCTCTCGTCCAAGCGCTTGAGCTTCTCGGCGCAGGCGGCGCGGCGCTGCTCGGCCATGCGGCGCTCCTCGGCCCTCGCGGCGGCGCCGCGCCCGCGCCACGGCCTGCGACAGCTCGGCACAGCTCTGCCGGCGGCGGCGGCGCCAGGCCTCGTCCTCATCCTATGGGGGAGATAGTGTACATGAGATACACCTGGGATACACCTGAGACACCTGGGATACACCTGGGATACACCTGGGATACACCTGGGATACACCTGACTGACACACACTGACACCCGCGCCACGGCCTGCGAGAGCTCGGCACAGCTCTGCCGGCGGCGCCGGCGCCAGGCCTCGTCCTCATCCTATGGGGGAGATAGTGTACATGAGATACACCTGGGATACACCTGAGACACCTGGGATACACCTGGGATACACCTGGATACACCTGGGATACACCTGACTGACACACACTGACACCCGCGCCACGGCCTGCGAGAGCTCGGCACAGCTCTGCCGGCGGCGCCGGCGCCAGGCCTCATCTTCATCCTATGTGGGAGATACAGCACCTGTGACACACCTGGGATACACCTGAGAGACCTGTGATACACCTGGGATACACCGGAAACACCTGGGATACACCTGGGATACACCTGTAATATCTGTGAGACACCTAGGTACAACTGAGCTACAGCCACGGCCTGAGAGAGCTCGGCACAGCTCTGCCGGCGGCGGCGGCGCCAGGCCTCATCCTCATCCTGAATGGGAGATACAGCACCTGTGAGACACCTGGGATACACCTGAGAGACCTGGGATACACCTGAGAGACCTGACTGACACCTGACTGACACCTGCGCCACGGCCTGCGACAGCTCGGCACAGCTCTGCCGGCGGCGGCGGCGCCAGGCCTCGTCCTCATCCTGAATGGGAGATACAGCACCTGTGAGATACCTGGGATACACCTGAGACACCTGGGATACACCTGAGTACAGCCCTGTGACACCCAGGTACAGCCCTGTACAGCTACACTACAGCCATGGCCTGAGACAGCTCGGCACAGCTCTGCCGGCGGCGCCGGCGCCAGGCCTCATCTTCATCCTGAATGGGAGATACAGCACCTGTGAGATACCTGGGATACACCTGGGATACACCTGAGAGACCTGACTGACACCTGACTGACACACACTGACACCCGCGCCACGGCCTGCGACAGCTCGGCACAGCTCTGCCGGCGGCGCCGGCGCCAGGCCTCGTCCTCGTCCTGAATGGGAGATAGTGTACCTGTGAGACACCTGGGATACACCTGGGATACACCTGAGAGACCTGAGACACCTGACACCTGACTGACACCTGACTGACACACACTGACACCCGCGCCACGGCCTGAGAGAGCTCGGCACAGCTCTGCCGGCGGCGGCGGCGCCAGGCCTCATCTTCATCCTGAATGAGGGAGATAATGTACCTGTGAGACACCTGGGATACACCTGAGAGACCTGAGATACACCTGGGATACACCTGAGACACCTGGGATACACCTGGGATACACCTGAGACACCTGGGATACACCTGAGATACACCACCTGAGAGACACCCGGGTACAGCCCTGTACAGCTACACTACAGCCATGGCCTGAGAGAGCTCGGCACAGCTCTGCCGGCGGCGCCGGCGCCAGGCCTCATCCTCATCCTGAATGGGAGATAATGTACCTGAGATACACCTGGGATAGCTGAGAAACACCTGGGATACACCTGGGTACAGCCCTGTAACACCTGACTGACACCTGACTGACACCTGACTGACACACACTGACACCCGCGCCACGGCCTGCAACAGCTCGGCACAGCTCTGCCGGCGGCGCCGGCGCCAGGCCTCATCTTCATCCTGAATGGGAGATAATGTACCTGTGAGACACCTGGGATACACCTGGGATACACCTGGGATACACCTGAGACACTTGGGATACACCTGGGTACAGCCCTGAGACACCTGACTGACACACACTGACACCCGTGCCACGGCCTGCGACAGCTCGGCACAGCTCTGCCGGCGCCGGCGCCAGGCCTCATCTTCATCCTGAATGGGAGATAGTGTACCTGTGAGATACCTGGGATACACCTGGGATACACCTGAGACACCTGGGATACACCCGGGTACAGCCCTGTACAGCTACACTACAGTCACGGTCTGGGAGAGCTCGGCACAGCTCTGCCGGCGGCGCCGGCGCCAGGCCTCATCTTCATCCTGAATGGGAGATAGTGTACCTGTGAGATACCTGGGATACACCTGAGATACCTGGGATACACCTCTGAGACACCTGAGAGACACCTGGGATACACCTGAGACACCCGGGTACAGCCCTGTACAGCTACACTACAGTCACGGCCTGGGACAGCTCGGCACAGCTCTGCCGGCGGCGGCAGCGCCAGGCCTCGTCCTCATCCTGAATGGGAGATAATGTAGTGAGATACACCTGAGAGACCTGTGAGACACCTGGGATACACCTGACATACACCTGAGACACCTGGGATACACCTGAGAGACCTGACTGACACCTGACTGACACCTGGGTACAGCCCTGTGACACCCAGACACAACTGAGCTACAGCCACGGCCTGCGACAGCTCGGCACAGCTCTGCCGGCGGCGCCGGCGCCAGGCCTCGTCCTCATCCTGAATGGGAGAGATACAGCACCTGTGAGATACACCTGGGATACACCTGGGATACACCTGAGATACCTGTGGGACACCTGTGATACACCTGGGAGACACCCGCAAGCAGCTACAGCCATGTGCATGACGCACCTGCAACACCGGAAGACACCTGCGATGCACCTGTGTGCGCCTGTGTCACACCTGAACATACCTGGACACACCTGTGTGTGCCTGTGTCACACCTGGATGTACCTGGACACACCTGTGTCACACCTGAGAACACCTGGGTACACCTGGATCATACCTGTACACACCTGGATCACACCTGGATCACACCTGTGCACACCTGTGTCACACCTGTATGCACCTGGATCACACCTGGATCACACCTCTGTCACACCTGTCCCCCCACTCACCGGAAGCTCGTTGGGCGTGGCCCAGCACACACCTGTATCACACCCATGTCACACCTACACACACCTGCACACACCTGTACACACCTGGATCACACCTGTACACACCTGTACACACCCATGTCCCACCTGTCCCAGCACTCACCGGAAGCTCGTTGGGCGTGGCCCAGCACTCACCGGAAGCTCGTTGGGCGTGGCCCAGCTGCCGCGGTTGGGCGGGGGCGGTGGAGGGGGCGGGGCCCGGCTGGGCGGGGCCGGGGTGGGCGGAGCCTCCTTGGGCCCCTCCGGGGGCGCTTTGGGAGGGGGCGGCTCCTCCTTCGCGGGGGGCGGAGCCTCGGCTTTGGGCGGGGCCGGGGGCTCATTCTCCTTCCTGGGGGGGGGGGGAACATGGGGGGGTTACGGGGGGAATTTGGGGGAATTTGGGGGAATTTGGGGGAATTTGGGGAGGGGGCTGGCCCCATTGGGGGAGGGCCTCACCCCTCATCATCCTCATCTTCATCCCGCCCGTCCTCCTCATCGCTGAACTTCAGCTTCTCGCTGTAATCGACCTCCTCGTGGGCTCCTGGGGGCAGGGGGAAATGTGGTGGGGGTCCCAGAGACCCCAGAAACCCCCAGAGACCCCCAGAGACACCCAGGGACCCCCAGGACCCCAAAAAGACCCCCCCAAAACCCCCAGACTCCACCAAATCCCCCTGGCACCCCCGAAATCCCCCTGGGACCCCTCCAGGACCCCCCAAATCCCCCCAGGAACCCCCCCAGATCCCCCTGGGACCCCCAAAAGCCCCTCAGGACACCCCCCCCCAAAATCCTCTCCAAATCCCACTGGGACCCCCCAAGCCCCCCAGAGAACCCCCAAATCCCCCCAAAAATTCCCTCCAAATCACCCTGGGACCTCTCAGGACCCCCCAAATCCCTCTGGGACCCCCCCCAGGACCCCCCAAATCCCCCCCAAATCCCCTCCAAAGCCCCCAGGACCCCCCAATCCCCCTGGACCTGCCCAGCCCTCGTCGTTCTCCTGGTCCCCCAAAGCCCCCCAGGACCCCCCAAATCCCCCCCGGACCCCCCAAATCCCCCCCAAATCCCCCCAGGACCCCCCAAAGCCCCCCAAGACCCCCCAAATCCCCCCCAGGACCCCCCAAATCCCCCCAATCCCCCCGGACCTGCCCAGCCCTCGTCGTTCTCCTGGTCCCCCAAAGCCCCCCAGGACCCCCCAGGACCCCCCAAATCCCCCCCAAATCCCCCCTGGGACCCCCCGGACCTGCCCAGCCCTCGTCGTTCTCCTGGTCCCCCAAATCCCCCCAGGACCCCCCAAATCCCCCCCAGGACCCCCCAAATCCCCCTGGGACCCCCCGGACCTGCCCAGCCCTCGTCGTTCTCCTGGTCCCCCAAAGCCCCCCAGGACCCCCCCCAAACCCCTCCAGACCCCCCCAGATCCCCCCCAAATCCCCCCAGGACCCCCCAATCCCCCCGGACCTGCCCAGCCCTCGTCGTTCTCCTGGTCCAGCTCATCGAACTCCCTGAGCTCGTCCTGGCGCAGCACCGGGGGGCGCGAGGGGGGAGACCCCCCCCCGAGGGGGCCCCGCAGCCCCCCGGGGACCCCCCGGCCGTGGGAACCTGCGGGGACCCCCCAAAAACCCACCCGGGGTGAGGGGGGGCAAAGGAGGGGGGAGCCTGAAAGGGGGAATTGGGGAGGGGGAACTGGGGAGGGGGAATTGGGTCTGGGGTCTCCTCAGTGGGACTGGGGGGTTTGGGGATGGGGGATTTGGGTCTGGGGTCTTCTTGGGAAGACTGGGGGGATTGGGGAGGGGGATTTGGGTCTGAGGGAATTGGGGATGGGGGATTGGGGATGGGGGATTTGGGTCTGGGGGATTTGGGTCTAGGGGGATTGGGGATGGGGGATTTGGGTCTGGGGGATTTGGGTCTAGGGGGATTGGGGAGGGGGATTTGGGTCTGGGGTCTTCTCGGTGAGACTGGGGGGTTTGGGGACCCAGAATGGAGGGAATTGGGGAGGGGGCTTTGGTCTCCTCAGTGGGACTGGGGGTTTTGGGGACCCCAGAAAAAGGGGGAATTGGGGAGGGGGATTTGGGGGTCTGGGGTCTTTTTGGTGAGACTGGGGGAATTGGGGAGGGGGCTTTGGTCTCCTCAGTGGGACTGGGGGGTTTGGGGACCCCAGAAAGGGGGGAACTGGGGGGAAATGAGGTTTGGGGGTCTTGGGGTGGGATTTGGGGGGTATTTGGGGGTCTCGGGGGGTATTTGGGGGGTATTTGGGGGTCTCGGTGGGATCTGGGGGGTATTTGGGGGTCTCGGGGGTCTTTGGGGACCCCTCCTCACTCACCTCTGTGCGTCGGGGCCCCGGAAGGGCCCATAGGGCGGCGGGAAGGGCAGGTACGGGGGGTACATCTGGGGGGGACCCCAAAATCAGCGTCAGCCACGGACCCCAGACCCAAAATCAGCCCAGACCCCAGACCCCAAAATCAGCCACAGACCCCAAAATCAGCGTCAGCCACGGACCCCAGACCCAAAATCAGCCCAGACCCCAGACCCCAAAATCAGCCACGGACCCCAGACCCAAAATCAGCCACAGACCCCAAAATCAGCCACAGACCCCAGACCCAAAATCAGCACGGACCCCAGACCCCAAATCAGCCACAGACCCCAAAATCAGCCACAGACCCCAGACCCAAAATCAGCCACAGACCCCAGACCCAAAATCAGCCACGGACCCCAAAATCAGCCACAGGCCCCAGACCCCAAAATCAGCCACAGACCCCAAAATCAGCATCAGCCACGGACCCCAGACCCAAAATCAGCCACAGACCCCAGACCCAAAATCAGCCACAGACCCCAAAATCAGCATCAGCCACGGAACCCAGACCCAAATCAGCCCAGACCCCAGACCCAAAATCAGCCTCAGCCACAGACCCAAACCCAAAATCAGCCTCAGCCACGGACCCCAGACCCAAAATCAGCCACAGACCCCAGACCCAAAATCAGCCAGAGGCCACAGACCCCAAATCAGCCACAGACCCCAGACCCAAAATCAGCCAGAGAGAGACCCCAGACCCCAAAATCAGCCGGAGACCCCAGACCCCCAAAATCAGCATCAGCCGGAGACCCCTCCCCACTGGGGCTGAGCCCCCCAGGATTGGGGATTTTGAGGGAGGGGGGGATTTTGAGGAGGGGGTTTTGGGGACGGAGATTTTGCGGATTTTTGGGGAGGGGGATTTTTGGGAGGGAGGAGTAGGTTTTTTTGGGGATGGGGTTTATTTTGGGGAGGGGGCGTCCATACTCACAAAGGGCGGCACCACCCCCCCGGTATGGGGGGAAATGGGGGGGCCGGGGGGGGCTCCTCCCCCCCCTTCGGCCGGCGGCTCCTCGGCCCCGCGCCCCTCCCGCCAGCTGCCACCTGGGGGGCAAAAAATGGGGCAATAAACGGGGGGAAAGGGGCAATAAAGAGGGGTCTGAGGGGTTACAGAGAGGTCTGGGGGGGTTAAATGGGGGGCAAAGGGGTAAATGGGGGCAAAGGGGGAAAAACAGGGGGGTAAATGGGGGACAAAGGGGGGGACAAAGGGGGTAAATGGGGGGGTAAAGGGGGTAAATGGGCAATAAAGACGGGTCTGAGGGGGTTACAGAGGGGTCTGCAGGGGTTTAAATGGGGGGCAAAGGGGGTAAATGGGGGCCTGGGGGGGTTAAACGGGGGGAGAAGGGGGTAAATGGGGGCAAAGGGGGCAATAAATGGGGGGCAAAAGGGGGTAAATGGGGGCAAAGGGGTAAATGGGGGTCTTTGGGGGATAAATGGGGGTCCAGGGGGGGTTAACAGGGGTCTGGGGGTGCTAAGAGGGGTCTGGGGGGGGGTTACAGAGGGGTCTGGGGTCCCACTGTGGGGGTGGGGGCTCCCGTGCAGGAAGGTTCTGGGGGTCTCAGGGGTATTTTGGGTGGGGGTCTCAGGGGTATTTTGGGTAATTTGGGGGGGATCTCAGGGTTATTTGGGGTGGATCTCAGGGATATTCAAGGTATTTAGGGTGGGGTCTGACTCACCTGGGGGGCGGGGGCTCGGTGCGGCGCCCACCCTGGGGATCTCAGGGTTATTTTGGGTATTTTGGGGTGGATCTCAGGAGGATTTCAGGGGTGTTTTGGGGGGGTCTCAGGGGGTATTTTGGGTTATTTAGGGTGGGGGTCTGACTCACTTGGGGGGCGGGGGCTCGGTGTGCGCGCCCACCCTGGGGTTCTCAGGGGGATTTCAGGGGTGTTTTGGGGGGGTCTCACAGGTATTCAGGGTTATTTTAGGGGGGGGTCTGACTCACCTGGGGGGCGGGGGCTCGGTGCAGGAAGGTGTTTGGGGGTCTCAGGGTTATTTTGGGGTGGATCTCAGGGATATTTTGGGTATTTTGGGGAGGGGCCTGACTCACCTGGGGGGCGGGGGCTCGGTGCGCGCCCACCCGACGCGTCGGCAGCGCCCCCCCCGCTCGCGGCCGCCCCTCCCCCGCTCGGCGGCCGCCCCCAAACTGGGGAACTCCTCCCGTGAGAACCGGCCCGGGAGGGGCGGGGCCCTGGCACCTGCGGGACCCCGGAAATGAGGGGGGGACCCCAAAAACCCCGGGGGGGACCCCAAAACGGGGGGGGACCCCAAAAAACCCCGGGGGGACCCCAAAAACCCCAAGGAGGAGGCAGGAAAGACCCCAAACCCCATGGACTGGGGTGGGCAGGGGGCTCCCCAAACCCCCCCCGTGAGGGGTCGGGGGGTGCCCCCAGTGGTCGCAGGGATTTGGGGGTGGGGTCCCGGGGGTCCCCCCAGCTCTCACCATCGGCGGGGGAACCGCTGGCCTGCGCCAGGACTTTGCCACGCTTGGCGGCGGGGGGGGGGTTCTGTGGGGGCAATTTGGGGAGGGGTCAGCACGAGGGGGGTGGGGGGGGTCACAGGGACCCCTCCCCAGGACCCCCCGAGTGCCCCCATTGTGCAGGGCCGGGGGGTCCCTGGGGTGGTCCAAAGCGCCCCCGTGTGCACCCTGGGGACCCCTCCCCGTTACCAGGGGTCCCGGGGGGGTTTTTGGGGTGGGGGTCTCACCTCGGGGGTCCCCGGGGTCCCCGCAGGCGGCTGCGAATCCGGCGGTGACGGCGACTGCGGCGGGGGAGGGGCGGAGGGCTCGGAACTGGGGGGGAGGGGGCAAAGGGGCGGGGTCAGGGGGGTGAGACCCCTCCCCAAGGCCCCCCTGGGGTGGGACCATCCCCCAGGACCCCTCCCCAAGGAGCCCCAGAGGGTCCCGAGGGCAGGGATGGGGGCCGGGGGTCTCTGGAGTACCCCAAAGTCCCCCTGGGCTGCAGCCCTGGGACCCCTCCCCACTAATGGGGGTCAGGGGGGTCATTCTGGCCCCTCCCCACCCACAGGGGTCGCTCTGCCCACATTGGGACCCCTCCCCACTAATGGGGGTCAGGAGTGGGGGTCTCTCTGTCCATCCCGAGCCCCCTCCCCAGCCCCAAGGGGGGGTCCCTGTGCCCACCCCAGCCCCAAGAGGGGGTCCCCAGCCCCATGGGGAGGGGTCTCACCTGCGGGGGTCGGGGGGGTCGCTGCGGCTGGCCCATCCCGAGCCGTCTCGGGGCACCAGGGCCACGTTGGGGTCGTTGCCTTTGTTCTCGGCCTTCAGGCTCGGCAGGTGCGCGGGGGGGGGGCATGCGCCGGGTGGGCACCTTGCCCAGGCTCTGCAGCCCATGGCGGGGGGCGCCTGGGGGGCACAGGGAGGGGTGAGACCCCCGAATTGCCCCCGGGACCCCCAAACTGCCCCTGAGCCCCCCTGAGCCCCCAGGCCTTGCCCAGGCTCTGCAGCCCATGGCAGGGGGCGCCTGGGGGGGGAGACCCCTGAGTGCCCCCCGAACTGACCCCGGGACCCCCGAGCCCCCCTCATTTCGCTACAGGGAGGGGGTCACACCAGAGGGACCCCCCCAGGACCCCAAACCCACCAGGACCACCCCCCAGGACCCCTGAACCCCCCTCCCCATTTTGGGGACCCCCTCCTCCCTCCCCAACTTCCCCCCCCAGAACCACGGGGGTCTCATTTTGGAGACCCCTCCTCAAACTACATCCACCCCCAAAAAGCGAGAGGGTCCCCATTTTAGGGACCCCACAACCCCCCCCAAAACCACGGGAGTCCCAGTTTGGAGACCCTTCCCCGACCCCACAAATGCCCCCCAAAACCACGGGGGTCCCACTTTGAGGACCCCTCCCCAACTCCCCCCCCAAACCTGACTGGGTCCCATTTTGGAGCCCCCTCCTCAAACCCACAAATCCCCCCAAAACCATGGGGGGGCCCATTTTAGGGGACCCCTCCCCAACCCCACCCAAAACCGAGGGGTCGCATTTTGAGGACCCCAGAGCCCTCCCCCATTTTGGGGCCCCCTCCTCCCTCCCTGACCCACACGCCCCCCCCGCCCCCATAACCCGGGTGTTCCCCCCCCCCCGCTCCCTTGGCCCATTCCCCGTCCCGGTTACCGGCGGCGCGGGGGGGCTCGAGCGGCCCGCCCCCGGTAGCTCTCACTGAGGCTCAGGCAGTTGTAGCGCCGGCCCCGCGCAGCCCGATCGCTCATGGCGCCGCATCGGCCGCACCGGGACCTGCGGGCGGGGAGCGGGGTCACACCGGGGCACGCGGGGCCGCCGCTGCCGGTACCTCCCGGTACAGGCCGCAGGCCGCGCCCCCCCACCTCAGAACACCGGGGGGGGTCACGGAACCGCCCCCCCCTCCTCACACACCCCCCCTGAGCCCCGCCCACACCTTACCGGGACCCCCGGCCCCGCCCCCTCCCGGTACCGGCGGTGGGGGATGGGCCCCGGTGTGAGGGGGCCTCGCCGTTCCAAGATGGCGGCCGGGCCTGCGCTGAGGGAGCCGGGATGGGGGGTGGGGGGGGGGTGTTTACGGGTGGATCTGCGCGCCCTCCCCCGGTTCCCCGTACCCACCTGTCCGCCCCGGGCGGGCTCCGCGGCGGCGGCTCCGCGCTCGGGGGCGGCGGGCGGGGCGGGCGGGCGCCGGATGGCGGCGGATTCCGCTGCCCCCCCCCTCCCTCCCTCCCTCCGACACAGGGCCCGCGGGGCCTCCGCGCATGCGCCGCGCGCCTCGGGCCGCACCGCGCGCAGCGGGGGGGGCGAGGCCGCCGCGGGGACGCGCCGCCATTGGCTGAGGGAGCCGAGCGGGCGAGACCAATGCGGGGTGGAGGGAAGGGGGGGGAGCGCGCTCCCCCGCGGAGTGGAGCGGTCCTGGAGGTGACGTCATTTGGCGGCGGCGCTGCGGCGCCCCCTGGCGGACGGGAGGGTTGGCGGCGCTCGTTGCCGTGGTAACGAGAGCCGCGCCCACCGAGCGGGGGAACTGGGGACACTGGGAGGGAACTGGGGAGGGAACTGGGAGGGACTGGGGGCACTGGGAGGGACTGGGAGGGACCGGGAAGCGCCGGGGACAGCCCACGCTCCGGGCTTCCCCCGTGGCCGGGGAGATTCCCGGTAAAAAACCCGCCCGGGTTCGACTTTTTGCCCAAACTCCGCTTTTATTGGGACTTTCCGCGATAAATTACACAGCAGTGAATAAATTACCGGCCCCGCCCCGAACCCGCGGCTTTTCCGCCGCGAAATTTGCCATAAATAGATAAAACTCTATTAAAAAAACCCGATACAAACGTACAAAAGTTACCAGTAGAAAAACTCCATAAATAGTACAATAAGTTAAATTTAGCTTTTCGCAGCGCGTTTGTCGACCTCAGTTGGTGCTGCTGGTGCTGATTCCAGTCGTGACCCGACCCCCCGGACCCCTGAGACCCCCGAGTCCTTGAGACCCCCAGAGCTCTCAGAGCCCCCCAAGACCCTGAAGCCCCTGAGCCCCCCAAGATCCCCGAGACCCTCAAGACCCCAAAGTCCCCAGAGCTTCTGGAGCCCCCCGAGACCCCCAAGACCCTGGAGCCACTGGGACCCTCAGAGTCCCTGAAAGCCCCTGAGACCCCCAGAGCTCTCAGAGCTCCCCAAGACCCAGAGACCCCCAGAGCTCCCAAAGACCCCCAAGACCTCAGAACCCCAAAAGCTCCTGAAGCCCCCCAGAGCTCCCCAAGACCCCAAAGCTCTCAGAGACCCCAAAACCCCCAAGACCCCAAAACCTTGAGAGCTCCTGGAGCCCCCAGAGCTCCCCAAGACCCCAAAGCCCCCTGAGACTCCCAGAGCTCTCAGAGACCCCCAAAACCCCCAAGACCCTGAAGCCCCCAGAGACCCCCCCAAGACCCCAAGGCCTCCAGAGCCCCTGAAGGCCCCAGAGCCCCTGGAGTCCTTGAGACCCCCAAAGCCCCCAGAGACCCCCAAAACCCCAAAGCACCCAGAAGCCTCCAGAGCCCCTGAAGCCCCCAGAGACCCCCAAAGCCTCCAGAGCTTCTGAAGCCCCCAGAGACCCCCAAAACCCCCAAGACCCCAAAGTCTCCAGAGCCTCTGAAGCCCCCAGAAGCCCCTAGAGCCCCTGCAGCCCCCAGAGACCCCCAAAAGCCCCAAAACCCCAAAGCCTCCAGAGCCCTGAAGCCCCCAGAAGCCCCCAGAGCCCCTGAAGCCTCCAGAGCCCCTGAAGCCCCCAAAGCCCCCAGACCCCCAGAAGCCCCTGAAGCCCCCAGAAGCCCCTGAAGCCCCCAGAGACCCCCAAAGCCTCTAGAGCCCCAGAAGCCCCCAGAGCCCCTGAAGCCCCCAGAGCCCCTGAAGCCCCCAGAGCCCCTGAAGCCCCCAAAGCCCCCAGAGCCTCCAGAGCCCCTGAAGCCCCCAGAGATCCCAAAGCCCCCAGAGCCCCTGAAGCCCCCGGAGCCCCTGCAGACCCCAAAGCCTCCAGAGCCCCTGAAGCCCCCAGAGCCCCTGCAGCCCCCCAATCCCCCCCAGCCGCCCCTAATCGACCCCCAGCACCCCAAAATAGGCCTGTCCAGCGCCGTGCAGGTCGAGGAAGCGTCCGGCCGAGGTGGTGGCCGCCAGCCGGTCCCCGCGGCGCAGCTGGAACACGGCGCCCTGGTACAGGGTCTCTGCCCAGAGCCCCCCGAGCCCCCCGGCCGGGCAGACGGAGCGGGCGGCGCGGAGCAGGGGCACGTCCCGGGGGTACTCCCGGGATAACCGGGACACCGCCAGGCGCAGCGGCCGCCGGGGGGCGCCCCCGGGCCCGCAGCGCCCGCCCGTGAAGGCGGCGGAGGCGTAGACGAAGTAGAGCCCGTCCCGGGGCACCACCAGGCGGTTCCCGCGCAGGCGGACCCCGTTCCGCACCAGCGCCGGCGCCACGCCCGCCTGCCAGCGCAGGGAGCCGCGGGACGAGGGCCAGGAGGAGGCTGGGAGAGGGAAAAACAAAATTAGAATACAAAATATATACAAAATAAAGCAAAAAATCCACAGAAATCCCCAAAAAACTGCCCCCAAAATCCCCGCCTGCCAGCACAGGGAGCCGCGGGACGAGGGCCAGGAGGAGGCTGCGAGAGGGAAAAACACGGTTAGAATATAAAATATATACAAAAATCCATAGAAATCCCCAAAAAACTGCCCCAAAAAACTGCCCCAAAATCCCCGCCTGGCAGTGGAGGGAGCTGCAGGATGAGGGCCAGGAGGAGGCTGGGAGAGGGAAAAATAAAATTAAAATATAAAATATATACAAAATAAAGCCAAAAATCCATAGAAATCCCCAAAAAACTGCCCCAAAATCCCCTCCTGCCAGCGCAGGGAGCCGTGGGACGAGGGCCAGGAGGAGGAAAAAGGGAAAAATTGGAAAAGGGAAAAATTAGGTTAAAATACAAAAAAATACCCCTAAATATATAACCAAAAATATCTGAAAATCCACAGAAATATCCCAAAAAACTGCCACAAAAAACACAGAAAAATCCCAAAAAACTGCCACAAAAAACAGAGAGAAATCCCCAAAAAACTGCCACAAAAAACACAGAGAAATCCCAAAAAAACTGCCACAAAAAACAGAGAGAAATCCCCAAAAAACTGCCACAAAAAACACAGAGAAATCCCAAAAAACTGCCCCAAAAACCAGAGAGAAATCCCCAAAAAACTGCCCCAAAATCCCCGCCTGCCACTGCAGGGAGAGGGCAAGGAGGAGCCTGGAAAGGGGAAAAATGGGTTAAAATATAGAAAAAAATCTAAAATAAAACCGAAAATCTGCAGAAATCCCCCCGAAATCTCAGCCTCCCACGCCAGGGAGCCCCGCGAGGAGAAACTGGGTCAAAATACCAAAACCAGGATTCCAAAAACGCACCCAAAACCCGCGGAAACGCCCCCAAAAATCCCGGAGGGGCAGGAGGGGCGGGAGCCGGGGCACCGGAAATGCCCAAAATAGCCAAAAATACCCCAAAAAAACCCCAAAAAAAACTCCCAAAAAATCCCCCGCCTCCCACGGTTGGGATCCCCAGTTCCTCCCAGTATAAACCAGTATAAACCAGTGACCCCAAACCCCAAACCAGTGACCCCAACCCAGTACAAACCAGTGACCCCAACTCCAACTCCCCGTTAACCCTTTCCCAGTCCCCCCCAGTATAAACCAGTATAAACCAGTATAAACCAGTAACCCCAAACCAGTATAAACCAGTACAAACCAGTGACCCCAAATCCCCCTTTAACCCTTTCCCAGTCACTCCCAGTATAAACCAGTAACCCCAAACCAGTACAAACCAGTGACCCCAAAACGCCTTTTAACCCTTTCGTAGTCCATCCCAGTATAAACCAGTGACCCCAAATTCTCCTTTAACCCTTTCCCAGTCCCCCCAGTATAAACCAGTGACCCCAAATCCCCCGTTAACCCTGTCCCAGTACAAACCAGTGACCCCAATCCCCCGTTAACCCTTTTCCAGTCCCTCCCAGTACAAACCAGTGACCCCAATCCCCCGTTAACCCCTCCCAGTCCCTCCCAGTATAAACCAATAACCCCAATCCCCCGTTAACCCTTTCCCAGTCCCCCCAGTATAAACCAGTAACACCAAACCCCCTTTAAACCCTCCCCAGTCCTCCCAGTACAAACCAGTAACCCCAAATTCTCCTTTAACCCTTTCCCAGTACAAACCAATAACCCCAAATCCCCCGTTAACCCTTTCCCATCCCCTCCCAGTACAAACCAGTGACCCCAATTCCCCATTAACCCTTTCCCAGTCCCTCCCAGTACAAACCAGTGACCCCAATCCCCCGTTAACCCTTTCCCAGTACAAACCAGTAACCCCAATCCCCCGTTAACCCTTTCCAGTACAAACCAGTAACCCCAATCCCCCGTTAACCCTTTCCCATCCCCTCCCAGTACAAACCAGTGACCCCAAACCCCTGTTAACCCTTTCCCAGTACAAACCAGTGCCCCCAATCCCCCGTTAACCCTTCCCAGTGCCCCCCAGTGCCCCCCGTTCTCACCCACGACGTGAGGCGGCCGGTTTGTCCCCTCGTGCCACCTGCGGGGGGGGCCCTGGGGACAGAACGGGGGGGGGGGGTTGGGACACCAGGAGTGACCTGGGGGGGTCCAAGGGGGCTCTAAAGGGGCCTGGGGGTGTCCCAGGGGGGGTCTGGGGGGCTCTGGGGATGTCCAAGAGGGTCTGGGGGTGACCCAAGGGGTCCCAGGGGGGCTCTGAGGGGGTCCCAAGGGCTCTGGGGGTGTCCAGGGGTGACCTGGGGAGGTCCAAGGGGGTCTGGGGGTGTCAGGGGGGCTCTAAAGGGGTCTGGGGGTGACCCAGGAGGGTTCTGGGGGGCTCTAAAGGGGTCTGGGGGTGTCAGGGGGGCTCTAAAGGGGTCTGGGGGTGACCCAGGAGGGTTCTGGGGGTGTCAGGGGGGGTCTGGGGGTGTCACTCACCGGGCAGTGCTGGGGGTGGCATCTCTGGGAGATCCTGGGGGGGACAGAGAGGGGTCAGAGAGGGGACAAATGGGGGGGGGGGGGACACGGGGGGGACACAAAAGGGTCAGAGAGGGGACATGAGGGGGGTGCATAGGACACAGGTGACACACAGGTGACACACAGGTGACACACAGGTGACATACAGGTGACACACAAGGGACACACAGGTGACACGGGGGGGTCCATGGGACACACAGGTGACACACAAGGGACACACAGGTGACACACAAGGGACACACAGGTGACACACAAGGGACACACATGTGACACGGGGGGGGTCCATGGGACACACAGGTGACACAGGGGGGGTCACAGGGGTCCTTACCTGCGGCGGCAGCTGCGTGGCACACAGGTGACACACACGCACAGGTGACACACAGGTGACACGGGGGGGTCCATAGGACACACAGGTGACACACAGGTGAGAGGGGGTGACACACAAGGGACACACAGGTAACACACACAGGTGACACACACACACAGGTGACACACAGGTGACACACAGGTGACACACAGGTGACACACGGGTGACACACAAGGGACACACAGGTAACACACACAGGTGACACACACACACAGGTGACACACACACACAGGTGATACACACAGGTGACACACACACACAGGTGACACACACACACAGGTAACACACACAGGTAACACACACACACAGGTAACACACAAGGGACACACACACACAGGTGGCACAGGTGACACACAGGTGACACACATGCACAGGTGACACACAAGGGACACACAGGTAACACACACAGGTGACACACACACACAGGTGACACACACAGGTGACACACACACACAGGTGACACACACACACAGGTGACACACAGGTGACACACACACACAGGTGACACACACACACAGGTGACAGGGCAGGGGGGGTCCCTACCTGCGGCGGCAGCCGCGTGGCCCCGGCCGGCAGCAGCAGCAGCAGCAGCGGCAGCAGCAGCGACAGCGCCGGAGGCACCGCGGGCCCGGCGGCGGCACCGGGGGCACCGGGAACGGCCACGGCGGCGGCTCCGGGCACGCGGGCCCGGGGGGGCCCGGCCATGGCGGCTCTGACCCGGCCCCGGCCCCCCCCGGGCCTTAAAGGCCCCCCCGGCCCCCGCACGGGGCGGCCCCGGGACCCCCGGGACCGGAAACGGGAACCGGAAACACCGGGGGAGGGGGGAGGAGCTTGGGGGGGACCCCTCCGCCCCCTCCCCCCCAATTAATGAGCGCTGCCCGCTCCCCCAATTAACGAGCTGTGCGGTAATTAACGGCTCAGGTTGTTAATTATGTTAAATTATGCTAAATTATGCTAAATTATGTTAAATTGTTAAATTATGTTAATTAGACCCCGCCTCCCCCCCCCACTGGGTTTTCCCATTGTGGGGGCGGGGGGGGGGCCCAAAAAGCGGAACCGCCCAAAAAAACCGCCTGGGGGGGGGGGGGCCCTAAAAAAATCCCACAGGGGGAACCCGAAATTGCACTGGGGGCGGGAAAAACCCAAAAATTGCACTGGGGGGGGGGGGGTCCCAAAATTGCACTTTGGGGGGGGGGGCAAAAATCGCCCCTGGAGGGGGTCCCAAAAAATCCAAAAAAATCCGGGCCCCCCCCCCCAAAAACGGCCCTGGTCGGGTTCCAAAAAATCCGGGGCGGGGCCCCAAAAATCCGGGCGGGGGGGGGGACGCCCAAAACCAGATGTGGGGAAACCGAAACTCTGAGGGGGCCCCCAAAAACCGCCCTGGGGAGGCCCCGAACGGTCCCGAGAGGGCCCCAAAAATCCGGGGAGGGGCCCCGAAATCCACCTGGGAGGGGTCCCAAAACCGCATTGGGAGAATCTGAAACCCCGGGAGGGCCCCAAAATCCGAGAGCGCCCCGAAAATGTGGGGGAGCCTGAAACCATCGGGGGGGGGGGAACCCCAAAGTGTCCTGGGCACCCCAAAAACCGCCTGGGGAGGAGGGGAGGAGGCCCAAAACTGCCCGGGGGTCTCTGGGGGGGCTCAGGGGGTCCTGAGGGGGTTTATGGGGGTCTCAGGGGGATTTAGGGGGTCCCAGAGGGGTCTCCGGGGATTCAAGGGGGGGGTCCCGGGGGGGAATTTTTAATTTTTGGGGTCCCGAGGGTCTCAGGGTGGTCCCGGGCCTCTCTCAGGTGCCTCAGGGAGGTCCCGGTGGTCCCAGGAAGGTCTCGGGGGGTCCCGGGAGGGATTTTGGGGGTCCCGGGGGTCTCAGGGTGGTCCCGGGGGGTTCCCGAGGGGGTCCCGGTGCTCTCAGGTGCCTGAGGGGGCTCTCCGGTGCCTCCTCCCGTTCCCATTCCCGCCTCAGCCGGATCTCCCATCCCCGCTCCGCCTCCTCGGAACCGAACCGGGCCCGGTTCTGCTCCCGGTGCTGGTTCCGGTCCCGGTCCCGGTCCCGGTGCGGCCCCGCCACGGCCGCGGTGTCTCCGGGCCCGAAGTGCGAGATCCGGGCCCGGTTCCGGTATGGGCCCCGAGCCCAGCCCAGCCCGGCCCGGTCCCGTTTGAGCTCCGTGGGCACCGGGAGGAGCCGCCCGCGCCCCGCCGGGCCCAGCCCGCCGCCGGCCCAGCCCGCCCGCAGCAGCAGCCGGTAACCGGGACCGGAGCAGGCACCGGAACCGGGGCCGGGAACGGAACCGGGAACGGAACCGGGGGCAGCGCCCAGGCCCAGCAGGTGCGCGGTGGAGCGGCGGTGCCGGGCGGGGGAGTCACGGAACGAGGCTCCGCAGCTGCGGCAGAAGTGGGCGGGGCTACGGGAACAAACATTAATTATTAATTAATTACCGAATTAATAATTGATTGATTAATTAATTAACGGGGATCGCACCCACCTGGGCGGTTCCCCGGCGGGCTCCGCGCCGCCGCTCTCGGTGAACAGGCTCTCGTAGAAGCTCCGTGCGGCCGCCCCGGGATCGGCGGAGGCCGCGGAGGCCTCAGGGAGCGGCGGCGGCGGCGGCGGCGGCGGCTCCGGTTGGAGCTGCCCGTCCTTCCAGCCGCCCGCGGGCTCTCGGGCACGGCGAAAGGCGATCAGGGCCATGGCGGCCACCGGGGGGGTTCTGGGGGTCCCTACCGCCGCCACCGGAAGTTGTGATCGGTGCTGCGGAACCACGTGACGCACCGGGCGGGCTCTGATTGGTCCGCACAGGCGCGGGACCGCAGTTCGGGCGGAAGCTTCGGCTGAGCGCGGCGCTGATTGGTCAATGGAGCGGAAGTGGCGGGCGGGCGGCGGTGATTGGTTGTGTCGGGCGGGGGGGCGGGGTTTGGGGCGGAAGCGGCGGCTGCGCGTGCGCGGATCGTGCCCGGAGCGCCCCTCAAGCGGCGGGTGAGGCCCGGGGGGGCACCGGGGCCACCGGGACGGGACCGGGAGGGTCTCGGGAAGGGCTCGGGGGGTTCCCGGGGCTTTCTCAGCGTCGTCCGGGTTCCTTCCGGCCCGCCCTGGGGTCCGTGCGGTTGCGGGGGTGCGGGCAGTGCGGGGCCCGGTGAGGCCCGAGGGTACCGGGAGGGCTCCGGGAGGGTCCCAGGGGCACGGGGACGGGCCCGAGGGGGATTTGGAGGTTCCCGGGAGGGGTCCCGGGGGGGATTTGGGGGGTCCCGGGGACCTCCGGGGGCTCCGGGAGGGATTTGGGGCACCCCAGGCGGATTCGGGAGTTCCCGGGGGTCTCACGGTCGCCGTTGCTCCCCGCAGACCCCCGGGACCATGAGCAGCTCCGAGGAGGTGTCGTGGATCTCGTGGTTCTGCGGCCTCCGCGGCAACGAGTTCTTCTGTGAGGTGGGCACGGGACCCCCAAAGGGACCCCCTGAAGGGTGGGTGACCCTTGGACACCCCTGGGTCCCCCACAGGACCCCCTCGGGACCCTTCAGGACCCTTTAAGACACTCCCAGATACTCCTGGGAGACCCTCAGGACCCTCCAGGAGACTCCTGGGACCCCTTGGACAATCCCAGGACCCCCTGTGACACCCAGAGCCCCCCCAGGACCCTCAGGACACCCTCAGGGACCCCCAGGACCTCCAAAGGAACCCCCCAGAGTCCCCCAGGACCCTTGGGGACCCTTAAGGACACCCCCAGATAACCCCAGGACACCCCTGGGACCCCCAAAGGGACCCCTGGGAGACCCCTCCAGCCCTTCTGGGGGTCCCCAAAGCCCCCCCCATTGTCCTGCCAGGCGCACGAGGGTCACATCCAGAACAAGCTCAGATCCCCTGAGCTCCCCTGGTCCTGCTGCACCCCCAGGTGCCCCCTGGTGCCCCCCAGGTGCCCCCCAAGCCCCCCAGGTGCCCCCCAAGCCCCCCCATTTCCCCCCAGGTGGACGAGGATTACATCCAGGACAAGTTCAACCTGACGGGGCTGAACGAGCAGGTGCCGCACTACAGACAGGCCCTGGACATGATCCTGGACCTGGAGCCCGGTAATGGGGGCTGGGGGCTTTGGGGAGGGGGCTGGGGGGGGGTTTGGGGCTCTCATGGGGGTCTCTGGTGCCCCTGATCCCCCCTTTCCCATTATGTGTTGCCCCCTCCCCAGATGAGGAGCTGGGGGGATTTGGGGGGCTGGGGAGGGGTCTCGGGGGGCTCTGGGGACTCAGGGGGTTCTGGGGGGGGGGTCAGAAGGGGTCTCTGGGGTCTTTTGGGGGTCTCTGGTGCCCCTGATCCCCTCTCACCCGTGGTTGTTGCCCCCTCCCCAAATGAGGAACTGGAGAACAACCCCAACCTGGGCTTTGGGGGGGTTTTGGGGGGCTCAGGGGGATTTGAGGCACTCGTGGGGGTCTCTGGGGATCTGGGGGCACTCGTGGGGGTCTCTGGGGATTTGGGGGCACTCGTGGGGGTCTCTGGTGCCCCTGCCCCCCCCTCACCCGTGGTTGTTGCCCCCTCCCCAGACGAGGAGCTGGAGGACAACCCCAACCAGAGCGACCTGATCGAGCAGGCGGCCGAGATGCTCTACGGGCTGATCCACGCCCGCTACATCCTGACCAACAGGGGCATTGCCCAGATGGTGAGGGACCCCCGGGACCCCTCCCCAAATCCCCCCTGGGACCCTGAGACCCCTCCCCAAATCCCCCCTGGGACCCCTGATCCATGCCTGGTACATCCTGACCCACAGGGGCATTGCCCAGATGGTGAGGGACCCCCGGGACCCCTCCCCAAATCCCCCCTGAGACCCTGAGACCCCTCCCCAAATCCCCCCTGGGACCCCCTGAGCCACTCCTGAGACCCCTCCCCAAATCCCCCCGGGACCCCTGATCCACACCCGCTACATCCTGACCAACAGGGGCATTGCCCAGATGGTGAGAGACCCCCGGGACCCCTCCCCAAATCCCCCCTGAGACCCTCCCCAAATCCCCCCTGGGACCCCCTGAGCCCCCCTCCCCAAATCCCTGAGACCCCTCCCCAAATCCCCCCTGAGACCCTCCCCAAATCCCCCCTGAGACCCTGAGACCCCTCCCCAAATCCCCTCTGAGACCCCTCCCCAAACCCCTCTGGGACCCCCTGAGACCCCCAGAACGCCCCCTGAGCCCCCTGACCCCCATCCTGAATAACAGGGGGGATCACCCAGGTGGTGCAGAGAGACCCCCTGAGACCCCCCTCAAATCCCCTGGGACCCCCAGGACCCCCCTGAAACCCCCCAGGACCCCCCTGGGACCCCCCAGGACCCCCCTAACCCCCCTGTGCCCCCTCCCCAGTTGGAGAAGTACCAGCAGGGAGACTTCGGGTACTGCCCACGGGTCTACTGTGAGAACCAGCCCATGCTGCCCATCGGTACTGGTTTATACTGGTGTATACTGGGAGGGACTGGGGAGGGGTTAATGGGGGATTTGGGGTTACTGGTTTGTACTGGGAGGGACTGGGGAGGGCTTAACGGGGATTTGGGGTTACTGGTTTGTACTGGGAGGGACTGGGGAGGGGTTAAAGGGGATTTGGGGTTACTGGTTTGTACTGGGAGGGACCGGGGAGGGGTTAAAGGGGATTTGGGGTTACTGGTTTATACTGGGAGGGACTGGGACAGGGTTTAAGGGGGATTTGGGGTCACTGGTTTATACTGGGAGGGACTGGGACAGGGTTAAAGGGGGATTTGGGGTCAGTGGTTTATACTGGGACGGACTGGGGAGGGGTTAAAGGGGATTTGGGGTTATTGGTTTATACTGGGAGGGACTGGGAGGGGTCGCTGTGGGGTTTATTTGGGGTCTTTTTTGGGATTTTTTGGGGTTTTCTCCCACTGAGTTTTTTTTGAGGTTTATTTGGGGTCTCTTCGGAGTTTATTCAGGGTCTTTTTGGGTTTTTTTTGGGATTTTTCCCCTAACTTAGGTGAGTTTATTTGGGATTTATTTGGGGTCTCTTTGGGGTTTATTTGGGGTCCCTTAGGGCGGATTATTCAGGGTTTATTTGTGATTTATTTGGGTTTTTTTGGGATTGTTCCCCGCGGGGTCCCTCAGGGCGGTTCCTTTGGGGTCTCTAATTTGGGTCTGGGGTCCCTGCGCCCCCCAGGGCTGTCGGACATCCCCGGGGAGGCCATGGTGAAGCTCTACTGCCCCAAGTGCATGGACGTGTACACGCCCAAGTCCTCGCGGCACCACCACACGGACGGCGCCTACTTCGGCACCGGCTTCCCGCACATGCTGTTCATGGTGCACCCCGAGTACCGCCCCAAGCGCCCCGCCAACCAGTTTGTACCCAGGTCAGAGATGGATCCCCCCAAAATATCCCCAAAATTCACAGGTGCACCCCGAGTACCGCCCCAAGCGCCCCGCCAACCAGTTTGTACCCAGGTCAGCCTTGGGGTGCCCCAAAAAATCCCCAAAATTCAAATGTGTACCCCCAGTACCGCCCCAAGCGCCCCGCCAACCAGTTCGTGCCCAGGTCAGCCATGGATCCCACCAAAAAATCCCCAAAATTCAAATGTGCACCCCGAGTACCGCCCCAAGCGCCCCGCCAACCAGTTCGTGCCCAGGTCAGAGATGGGGTGCCCCAAAAAACCCCCAAAATTCAAATGTGCACCCCGAGTACCGCCCCAAGCGCCCCGCCAACCAGTTTGTACCCAGGTCAGCCTTGGGGTACCCCAAAAAATCCCCAAAATTCAAATGTGTACCCCGAGTGCCCCGCCAACCAGTTTGTACCCAGGTCAGAGATGGATCCCCCCAAAAAATCCCCAAAATTCAAATGTGTACCCCCCCAGTACCGCCCCAAGCGCCCCGCCAACCAGTTTGTACCCAGGTCAGCCTTGGGGTGCCCCAAAAAATCCCCAAAATTCAAATGTGTACCCCGAGTATTGCCCCGAACCAACCAGTTTGTACCCAGGTCAGCCATGGGTGCCCCAAAAAACCCCCAAAATTCAAATGTGTACCCCCAGTACCGCCCCAAGCGCCCCGCCAACCAGTTTGTACCCAGGTCAGAGATGGATCCCACCAAAAAATCCCCAAAATTCAAATGTGCACCCCGAGTACCGCCCCAAGCACCCCGCCAACCAGTTTGTACCCAGGTCAGCCTTGGGTGCCCCAAAAAATCCCCAAAATAGATGGGATCCCCAAAAAACCCCCAAAATTCAAATGTGTACCCCGAGTACCGCCCCAAGCGCCCCGCCAACCAGTTCGTACCCAGGTCAGAGATGGATCCCCCCAAAAAATCCCCAAAATTCAAATGTGTACCCCGAGTACCGCCCCAAGCGCCCCGCCAACCAGTTTGTACCCAGGTCAGCCTTGGGGTGCCCCAAAAAATCCCCAAAATTCAAATGTGTACCCCCAGTACCGCCCCAAGCGCCCCGCCAACCAGTTTGTACCCAGGTCAGCCATGGATCCCCCCAAAAAATCCCCAAAATTCACAGGTGCACCCCAAGTACCGCCCCAAGCGCCCCGCCAACCAGTTTGTACCCAGGTCAGAGGGGGGTACCCCAAAAAATCCCCAAAATTCAAATGTGTACTCTGAGTACCGCCCCAAGTGCCCCCGCCAACCAGTTCGTGCCCAGGTCAGAGAGGGGGTGGCCCAAAAAATCCCCAAAATAGATGGGATCCCCCAAAAAATCCCCAAAATTCAAATGTGTACCCCGAGTACCGCCCCAAGCGCCCCGCCAACCAGTTTGTACCCAGGTCAGCCTTGGGTGCCCCAAAAAATCCCCAAAATTCAAATGTGCACCCCGAGTACCACCCCAAGCGCCCCCGCCAACCAGTTCGTACCCAGGTCAGCCATGGATCCCCCCAAAAAATCCCCAAAATAGATGGGATCCCCTAAAAAATCCCCAAAATTCAAATGTGCACCCCGAGTACCGCCCCAAGCGCCCCGCCAACCAGTTTGTACCCAGGTCAGAGATGGATCCCCCCAAAAAACCCCCAAAATTCAAATGTGCACCCCCAGTACCGCCCCAAGCGCCCCGCCAACCAGTTTGTACCCAGGTCAGAGAGGGGGTACCCCAAAAAATCCCCAAAATTCAAATGTGCACCCCGAGTACCGCCCCAAGCGCCCCGCCAACCAGTTCGTGCCCAGGTCAGCCATGAATCCCACCAAAAAATCCCCAAAATTCAAATGTGTACCCCGAGTACCGCCCCAAGCGCCCCGCCAACCAGTTTGTACCCAGGTCAGCCTTGGGGTGCCCCAAAAAACCCCCAAAATTCAAGTGTGTACCCCGAGTACCGCCCCAAGCGCCCCGCCAACCAGTTCGTACCCAGGTCAGCCTTGGGGTGCCCCAAAAAATCCCCAAAATAGATGGGATCCCCCAAAAAAATCCCCAAAATTCAAAGGTGCACCCCCAGTACCTCCTCACCAACCAGTTTCAAACGTGGTCAGACATGGGATCCCCCAAAAAATCCCCAAAATTCAAAGGTGCACCCCAAGTGCCCTGCCAACCAGTTGGTGCCAGGTCAGAGAGGGGGTACCCCAAAAAATCCCCAAAATTCACAGGTGCGCCCCAAGCGCCCCGCCAAGCAGTTTGTACCCAGGTCAGCCTTGGGGTGCCCCAAAAAAACCCACAAAATTCAAGAAAGAAAACCAGGTGGGATTCAAAAAATAGCCAGGGGTACCAAAAAAAAAAAAGCCAGCTGGAATTGCCAAAAAAACACAAATTGCAAAAAGAAAATAGATGGGATTTAAAAAAAAAAAATGGAATTGCAAAGAAAAACCCCGTCGGAAATGGCCCCAGAGCTCGGGGAAACGACCCCAAAGCCCCAAAGAAAATGAGATCAAAACTCAGGGAAACAACCCCAAAAAACCCAGTGAAAACAAGGTCAAAACACAGGGAAATGACACCAAAAAACCCAGCAGAAATGAGCACAAAAGAAGGGAAAATGACCCCAAAAACCCCAGCAAAAACAAGCGTGAAATTCAGGGAAATAACCCAAAAAAAAGCAAACGAAACACGGGGAAAATGAGTTGAAATCTCAAGTGTTTACACCGATTTTCTTCTCTGAAAAGTGAGGAGAATATAATATTCCTGTAAACTGACCCCCTAACTTGAAACCACCCCAAAAAATTCCTGAAAAAAAATCCCCATTTTTCCCCCAAAAAAATCCCCATTTTCCCCCCAAAAAAATCCGCGTTTTTCCCCCCAGAAATCCCATCTTTTTTCCCAAAACGCTGGTTTTTCTCCCCAGGCTCTACGGGTTCAAGATCCACCCCATGGCGTACCAGCTGCAGCTCCAGGCCGCCAGCAACTTCAAGAGCCCCGTCAAGACCATCCGCTGAGGGACCCCCAAAAAAACCCCCCAGGACCCCCAAAATCCCCCCTGGAACCCCCAAACCTGCAACCCCCCCTGACCCCCAAAAGAGATTTGGGCTGAAACGCGGTGATTTTGGCTCTTTTTTCGGGGAAATTTGGGGCGTCTTGGGGCCTTCAGGCCTGGTTTGGCGGGGGTTGGGTGATTTTGGGGTGGTTTGGTGGAATTTGGGGGTTTTTGGGTGGAATTTTGGGGTTTTTTGGGGTGGTTTGGAGTGGTTGAGGTTGGTTTTGGGTGAAATTTGGGGCTTTTTGGGTGAAATTTGGGGCATTTTGGGTGCAATTCCATTGGGGGAATTTGGGGTCGGCCTGAGCGGTTTGGGGACAATCGAGGCCATTTGGGCTGCGTTTGGGTCACCTTAAACAGATTTAGGGCATTTTGGGGCACTCCTGGGTGGTTTTGAGAGGGATTTGGGGTAATTTAAGTGGTTTTGACACGTTTCAGGTGGTTTTGTGTATTTTGGGACACTTGGAGCAGTTTTAGGGAGGTTTTGGGCCTGTTCCAGACCAATTTGCATCATTTTTTGGTGGATTCGGTGCATTCCGGGCCGTTTTTGGTGTCACTTTCGGCTGTTTTGAGTCACCCTCCAGCCGTTTTGGAGGCCCCTTTGCCCGATTCCCTCACCTTTCGCTGGATTTTGGGGCGATTTCCGCCGCTTTTGGGGCATTTCGAGGTCTTTTCTCGCGTTTCCATGACAATGCCGCCATTTTGTCCCGCCCTATTCCCATAACAACGCCGCCATTTTGTCCCGCCCACGTTCCCCTGACAACGCCGCCATTTTGTCCCGCCCACGTTCCCCTGACAACGCCGCCATTTTGTCCCGCCCTCGTTCTCACGGCAACGCCGCCATCTTGTCCCGCCCTCGTTCCCCTGACAACGCCGCCATTTTGTCCCGCCCTCGTTCCCGCGACAACACCGCCATTTTGTCCCGCCCACGTTCCCGCGACAACGCCGCCATTTTGTCCCGCCCTCGTTCTCGCGGCAACGCCGCCATTTTGTCCCGCCCTCGTTCCCGTGACAACGCCGCCATTTTGTCCCGCCCTCGTTCCTCTGACAACGACCAAAACGCCGCCATTTTGGTCCCGCCCCTGTTTCCCCGACAACGCCGCAATCTTGTCCCGCCCCCGTTCCCACCGCAACGCCGCCATTTTGTCCCGCCCTCGTTCCCCCGACAACGCCGCCATCTTGTCCCGCCCTCGTTCCCGTGACAACGCCGCCATTTTGTCCCGCCCACGTTCCCATAATACCCCCGATAAGTGGGCGGGGCTTCGCCGCCGGTTCCGGTCTCGCCCCGGAAGCGCCGCTACCCGGAAGCGCCGCCACTTCCGGCGCCGCCGTCATGGCGAAGCTCCTCAGCTGCGTCCTGGGCCCGCGGCTTTACCGGGTCCATCGGCCCCGGCCGCCCGGGCCGGCCCCGGGGAGCGGCGGCGGCGGCAGCACCGAGCGCGGGGAACCGGCCTGGGTGAGGCGCGGGAAGGCGCGGGGCGGTTGCCATGGGGACGGCGCGGCCCCGCTGACCCCCGGTGCCCCCCGTTCCCCCCGCAGGACTCGTATTACCAACCGCGGGGGCTGGAGAAGCACACGGACAGCGTCCTGGCCCTGGTGAGACCGGGGGACACCGACACCGGTTTGAGCCCGGCTGGACCCGATTCTCCCCGATTTACCCCCATTTGCCCTGGTTTCACCCCCAAAAAATACCCCGAAAAGGCCCCAGATACCCCCAAAAAAACCAACGCGGAAACCCTCAGAAAACACCCCGAAAACTCCTTCAGATACCCCCAAAAAGCACCCCCAAACCCCCCCCAGATGCCCCTAAAAAATAACCTAAAAAACAACCTAGAGATCTCCAAAAATCCCTCCCAGATACCCCCAACAAGCACCCCAAAAACCCCCCAGATACCCCCAAAAAACAACCTAAAAAACAACCTAGAGATCTCCAAAAATCCCTCCCAGATACCCCCAAAAAACACCCCCAAAACTCCCCCAGGTACCCCTAAAAAATAACCTAAAAAACAACCTAGAGATCTCCCAAAAACCCACCCAGATACCCCCAAAAAACACCCCAAAAAAACCCCAGATACCCCCAAAAAACAACCTAAAGATCTCCAAAAAACCCTACCCAGATACCCCCAAAAAACCTCCCAAAAACCCCCCAGATACCCCCAAAAAATCCACCCAGATATCCCCAAAAACACCCCAAAAACCTCTCATTGAGATCGCCAAAAACACCCCAAAACCAACTCAGAGACCCCCCCCAAAACCATCCCATAAACCCCCCTGAGACCCCCCCAATTTCTCCCCCAATTTCCCCAGAAATCCACCCCAAAACCAGCACAGAGACCCCCCAAAAAACCCAACGCAGAGACCCCCAAAACCCCACCCTGAGACACCCCCCCCAAATTTCCCCAAACTTCCCCCAATTTCCCCCCGAATTTTCCACATTTTCCCCATCCCGGGGGTCTCAGGGGTCCCGTTTGGGGGTCCCATTCGGGGGTCTCAGGGGTCCCATTTGGGGGGTCCCATTTGGGGGTCTCGGGGGTCCCATTTTGGGGGGTCCCATTCGGGGGTCTCAGGGGTCCCATTCGGGGGGTCCCATTTGGGGGTCTCAGGGGTCCCATTTGGGGGTCTCAGGGGTCCCATTTTGGGGGGTCCCATTTGGGGGTCTCAGGGGTCCCATTCGGGGGTCTCAGGGGTCCCATTTGGGGGGTCTCAGGGGTCCCATTCGGGGGTCTCAGGGGTCCCATTTTGGGGGTCCCATTTTGGGGTCTCATGGGTCCCATTTTGGGGTCTCATTTGGGGGTCTCAGGGGTCCCATTTGGGGGTTCCATTCGGGGGTCTCAGGGGTCCCGTTTGGGGGTCTCAGGGGTCCCATCTGGGGGTCCCTGGGGGTCTCAGGGGTCCCATTTTGGGGGTCCCGCAGGCCTCGGTGCTCTGGTCCATCTCGTACTACGCCTCCCCCCTGGCCGTGCTCTACCTGTACCGAAAAGGTGGGCGGGGGGCTCACCTGGGGGGCTCGGGGGGCTTGAAGGGGGATTTGGGGGGGTTTGAGGGGGGGTTTGAGGGGAATTTGGGGGGGTTTTGGGGGATTTTTGGGGGGTCTCTGCGGTTGGTTTTGGGGTGATTTTGGGTTGGTTTTTGGGGTGTGTTTGGGTTGTTTCGGGGGTGATCTTGTGGGGTGTTTTTGGGTTACTTTAGGGGTTGGTTTTGGGGTGATTTTGGGGTGGTTTTGGGACATGATTTTATGGTGTTTTTGGGACGGATTTGGGGTATTTTTGGTGTGTATTCAGGCTGGTTTTGGGCTGTGTTTGGGTTGGTTTTGGGGGTGTTTTCAGCCTGGTTTTGGGGTGATTTTTGGGTGCTTTTGCGAGGTGATTTTATCATATTTTTGGGATGCATTTGGGGTATTTTTGGAGTGTTTTCAGGCTGTGTTTGGGTCGGTTTTGGGGGTGTTTTCGGCCTGTTTTTGGGGGTGGTTTTGGGAGGTGATTTTATGGCATTTTTGGGATGCCTTGGGGGGTGATTTTGGGGTGTTTTCACCCTGATTTTGGGATGATTTTGGGTGGTGTTTTTGGGAGTGATTTTATGCATTTTTGGGATGTGTTTGGGCTGTTTTCAGGCTGTTCTCAGGCTGTTTCTGGGGTGATTTTGGGCTATTCTCAGGCTGGTTTTGGGGTGTTTTTGGGAGGGTGTTTTTATGGCATTTTTGGGATGCGTTTGGGCTGTTTTCAGGCCGTTCTCAGGCCATTCTCAGGCCGTTTTCAGGCTGTTTTCAGGCTGTTTTTGGGAGTGATTTTATGGCAGTTTTGGGCTGTTCTCAGGCCGTTCTCAGGCTGTTTCTGGGGTGATTTTGGGCCGTTCTCAGGCTGTTTTTGGGCTGTTCTCAGGCTGTTTCTGGGGTGATTTTGGGCTGTTCTCAGGCCGTTCTCAGACCATTCTCAGGCCGTTCTCAGGCTGGTTTTGGGAGTGGTTTTATGGCAGTTTTGGGCTGTTCTCAGGCCGTTCTCAGGCTGTTTCTGGGGTGATTTTGGGCCATTCTCAGGCCGTTCTCAGACCATTCTCAGGCTGTTCTCAGGCTGTTTTTGGGAGTGATTTTATGGCAGTTTTGGGATGCATTTGAGCTGTTTTCAGGCTATTCTCAGGCTGTTTCCAGGCTATTCTCAGGCCGTTCTCAGGCTGTTCTCAGGCTGTTCTCAGGCCATTCTCAGGCTGTTTTTGGGAGTGGTTTTATGGCAGTTTTGGGCTGTTCTCAGGCCGTTCTCAGACCATTCTCAGGCTGTTTTCAGGCTATTCTCAGGCCGTTCTCAGGCCATTCTCAGACCATTCTCGGCCCGTTTCCCCCCTCCCAGGCCTCCTGACCATGTCCCGCGTGGTGCCCCCTGTCCCACTGCGCCGCCACCCTGGGGCTGCTCCTCGCCGGCGTCGCCTGCCTGCGAGGTGAGGGAGCTCTGGGGGGGCTCTGCGACCCCCGGGGACCCCCAGAGCGCCCCCAAACGCCCCCGTGCCCCCCTCCCCTGCAGGGCTGGGCCGCTGGAGCAACCCGCAGTACCTGGAGTTCATCGCGGTGCTGGAGGAGAGCCACCGCTCGGGCAGCCCCGAGAGCAAGGTGGGCACTGGGGAGGGGGGGCTCGGGGGGGGCTCCTGGGGACCCCCCGGGGCTCGGGGGGGGTCTCAGGTGTCCCTTCTGCCCCTCCCCAGCGCAAACTCGGCCTCTACACCTTCGACTTCCGCAGCTGGCCCGTGGATTTCCGCTGGGACAGCGCCGGCCCCGCATGGTCAGAGACGGCCCCAAAACCAAAAACCACCCCTGGGACCCCAAAAACACCCGGGGAATGAGAAACCAGCCCTGGGGACCCCAAAAACGCCCCTGGGATACACAAAAACCACCCCTGGGACCCCAAAAACGGCCCCCAAAACGGCCCTGGGGACCCCAAAACCACCCCTGGGATACACAAAAACGCCCTGGGGACCCCAAAAACGCCCCTGGGATACACAAAAACCACCCCTGGGGACTCCAAAAACACCCTGGGAATGAGAAACCACCCCTGGGGACCCCAAAAACGCCCTGGGGACCCCAAAAACCAGCCCTGGGATACACAAAAAACACCCTGGGAACCCCAAAAAAGCCCCTGGAATACCCAAAAAAAACCCCCTGGGAACCCCCAAATCCTCCCCAGTTTCCCCCCAGGCCCCCCCAAACCCCCCCTGAGCTCTGATTGGTTCCAGGGGCGGGCTCCCGGGCGGTGCCGCTGCTCCAGACCCCGCCCCGGCCCCGGGGGGGCTCCCGGGGGCTCCTGGGCGCGCTCGGAAGCTTCCGTGCGCCCTGGTCAGGTGGGCGGGGCCTCTTGGGGGCGGGGCATCTGGGCGGGGTTTGGTGTGGGCGTGGCCATGGGGGGTGAGGTTTTTTAATACTGGGTGGGTGGAGCCTGTGGGGGGGCGTGGCTCTCTGGGGTGGGGCTATGCAAAGTGAGGGGCGGGGGTGTGATCCCAGGTGGGCGGGGCTAAAGAGGGTGGGGTCATGGGGGTGTGGTCAGGGGGGGAAGGAGGTGATTGGCAGTGGGTGGGTGGGGCTGCTGGCCCCGCCCCTGGGCGTGTCCCCTGATGTGGCCCCGCCCCTGGGCGTGTCCCTGACGCGGCCCCGCCCCCAGGCTGCTCCTGGCCCACACCCTGGGCCGGCGGATGCTGTTCCCGGGCTCGGTGCGGCTGCTGCAGAGGGCGCTGCTGCCGGCGCTGCTGCAGGGCCAGGCACGGCTGATTGAGCAGGTGAGAGGACCCAAAATATCATAAATATATCCCAAAATATCATAAATATATCCCAAAATACCCCTGAGATACACCCAGGTCACCTGCAATACACCCGGCCCCTGCTGCAGAGGGCGCTGCTGCCGGCGCTGCTGCAGGGCCAGGCCAGGCTGATTGAACAGGTGAGAGACCCAAAGTATCCTGAATATACCCCAAAATATCATAAACATATCCCAAAATACCCCTGAGATACACCCAGATCATTTACAATACACCCAGCCCTGCTGCAGGGCCAAGCCCGGCTGATTGAGCAGGTGAGAGACCCAAAATACCCGAAACTTACCCCAAAATATCCTAAATTTACCCCAAAATATCCCTGAGATCACCTGCAATGCACCTGGTGCTGCTGCAGGGGCAGGCCCAGCTCATCGAGCAGGTGAGAGACCCAAAAATATCATAAACACACCCCAAAATATCATAAACTTACCCCAAAAATATCCTAAACTTACCCCAAAATATCATAAACACATCCCAAAATATCCTAAACTTACCCCAAAATATCCTAAACTTACCCCAAAAATATCAATTTTCCCCTCATTTTCCCAGTTTGGGGGGGCAGCAGGTGAAGCTCCCATTGCCCCATTTCCCCATTTTTGCCCCATTTTCCCCATTTTTGCCCCATTTTCCCGTTTTTTGCCCCATTCTCAGTTTGGGGGGCAGCGGTGTGAAGCTCCCATTGCCCCCATTGCTCCATTTCCCCCATTTTTGCCCCATTTTTGCCCACTTTCCCCGGTTTTTGCCCAGTTTGGGGGGCAGCGGGTGAAGCTCCCATTGCCCCATTTCCCCCATTTCCCCATTTTTGCCCCATTTTTGCCCATTTTCCCCGTTTTTTGCCCCATTCCCAGTTCGGGGGGCAGCGGGGTGAAGCTCCCATTGCCCTCCTGACCCCCATTTTGCCCCATTTTCCCCATTTTTTGCCCCATTTTTTCCCCCATTCCCCAGTTTGGGGGGCAGCGGGTGAAGCTCCCATTGCCCCATTTCCCCCATTTTTGCCCCATTTTTGCCCATTTTCCCCGTTTTTTGCCCCATTCCCAGTTTGGGGGGCAGCGGGTGAAGCTCCCATTGCCCCATTTTCCCCATTTTTCCCCATTTTTGCCCATTTTTCCCCCATTTTTTGCCCAGTTTGGGGGGCAGTGGGTGAAGCTCCCATTGCCCCATTTCCCCCATTTTCCCCCATTTTTTGCCCATTTTCCCCCATTTTCCCCCATTCCCAGTTTGGGGGGCAGCGGGGGTGAAGCTCCCATTGCCCCATTTCCCCCATTTTTGCCCCATTTCCCCCATTTTTGCCCATTTTCCCCCGGTTTTTGCCCCATTCCCAGTTTGGGGGGCAGCGGGTGAAGCTCCCATTGCCCCCATTTCCCCCATTTTTTGCCCGTTTTTTCCCCATTTTTGCCCATTTTCCCCCGGTTTTTGCCCAGTTTGGGGGGCAGCGGGGTGAAGCTCCCATTGCCCCATTTCCCCATTTTTCCCCATTTTTGCCCATTTTCCCCGGTTTTTTGCCCAGTTTGGGGGGCAGCGGGTGAAGCTCCCATTGCCCCATTTTCCCCATTTCCCCATTTTTGCCCATTTTCCCCGTTTTTTTCCCCCATTTTTTGCCCAGTTTGGGGGGCAGCGGGTGAAGCTCCTGGCCTGCGATGGGAACGAGATCGACGCCATGGTCATCGACAGGAGGGGGCCGGGACCCCCGCGGGGACACCCTGGTATGGGGGGGAGCAATGGGGGGGCTTTGGGGGTCCTGGGGGGGCTCTGAGGGAATTTAGGGGAGGCTTTGGGGGGGTTTTGGGGCAGTTTGGGGGCGGTTTTGGGGAGATTTTGGGAGGTTTGGGGGGGGTCCTGGAGGGGGGTTTGGGGGGGTTTGGGGTGAATTTGGGGGGATGTGGAGGGGGCTTGGGGGGTCTGGGGGGGTCCCAGAGGGTCCCTAGAGGGGATTTTGGGGGGGGCTCTGAGGGAATTTGGGGAGGTTTTGGGGGGATTTGTGGGCATTTTAGGGGGGTTTTGGGGAGGTTCTGGGGGTCCCTGGAGGGGGGTTTGGGTGTGAATTTGGGGGGCGTGGAGGGGGTTTGGGGGGTCTGGGGGGGTTTTTGGGGATGTTTTGGGGGGATTTTGGGGAGGTTCTGGGGGTCCCTGGAAGGGCTTTGGGGTGAATTTGGGGAATGTGGAGGGGGATTGGGGGGTCTGGGGGGGTCCCAGAGGGTCCCTAGAGGGGGTTTGGGGTGAATTTGGGGGAATTTGGGGGATGTGGAGGGGGCTTGGGGGGGTTTTGGGGGGATTTTGGGGAGGGTCCCGGGGGATTTTGAGGGGGATTTAGGGAGGGTCCCAGGGTTTTTGGGGGGATTTTGGGGAGGGGTCCCGGGTATTTTGGGGAGGGTCCCAGGTGATTTTGGGGAGGGTCCCAGGGGTTTTTGGGTATTTTGGGGAGGGTCCCAGGGATTTTGGGGGTCCCCGGGATTTTGGGGGGATTTTGGGGGGATTTTGGGGAGGGGTCCCGGGGATTTTTGGGGTATTTTGGGGAGGGTCCCGGGGGATTTTGGGGGGATTTTGGGTATTTTGGGGAGGGTCCCTGACCCCCATGCCCCCCCAGGTCATTTGCTGTGAGGGCAATGCTGGCTTCTACGAGGTCGGGTGCCTGAGCACCCCCCTGGAGGGTACGGAACCGACCCCAGACCCAAAAAACTGACCCAAAACCGACCCAAAACGGACCCCAGACCCCCAAAAATGACCCCAAAAATGACCCCAGACCCAAAACCTGAGCCCGAAAATGACCCCAGACCCAAAAATGACCCCAGACCCAAAACTGACCCCGGAACTGACCCCAGACCCAAAAATGACCCCAGGGACCCTCCCCAGGACCCCAAAAACGACCACAGACTCCAAAATTAATCCTGGGACCCCCTTGGGACCCCAAAATTGCCCCCAGAACCACTCCAGGGACCCCAGATCTGACCCCAGAACCCAAAACTGACCCCAGACCCCTCCAGAACCCCAAAACCGACCCCAGACCCCCAAAAACTGCCCCCCCAGGGACCCCAAAACCGACCCCAGACCCCTCCCAGGGACCCCAGAACCACCCCAGGGACCCCAAAACCGAGCCCAGGACATTTTTGGGGGGGTTCTTGCTGCCCCAGCACTGCCCCCGTGACCCCCCCGTGACCCCCCGTGACCCCGTGACCCCCCCCGTGACCCCCCCGTGACCCCCCCGTGACCCCGTGACCCCCCGTGACCCCCCCGTGACCCCTCCCCCTCTCCCCAGCCGGGTTCTCGGTGCTGGGCTGGAACCACCCCCGGCTTCGGAGGCAGCACCGTGAGTCTGGGGGGGATTTGGGGGGGGATTTTGGGGGGTCCTGGGGGGTCCTGGGGGCGATTTGGGAGGTCCTGGAGGGGTTTGGGGGGGGATTTTGGGGGGATTTTGGAGGGGATTTTGGGGACCCCCCGACCCCCCCATTTTGGATTCCGGAGTCCAACGCTGTGGGGTACAGAAATGGGGGGGGGGATTTGGGGGGGGTCCTGGGGAAATTTTGGGGTTTTTTGGGGGTCCCTGAACCCCGGGATTTTTGGGGGTTTTTGTGGGGTTTTTTGGGGTCCCTGAACCCCGGGATTTTTTGGGGATTTTTGTGGGGTTTTTGTGGTCCCTGAACCCCGGGATTTTTGGGGTTTTTTTGGGTTTTTTGGGGTTTTTGGGGTCCCTGAACCCCGGGTTTTTTGTGGGGGTTTTTGGGGGTGCTGATGCAGTTTTTGGGGTCCAATTGACCCCGTTTTCAGGGTGTCCCCCTGCCCCAGAGCGAGGCCAATGCCATGGGACGTCGTGGTGGGGGAATTTTGGGGTTTTTTGGGGTTTTTGGGGGTCCCTGAACCCCGGGATTTTTGTGGGGGTTTTTGGGGGTGCTGACGCAGTTTTTGGGGTCCCTTTGACCCCGTTTTTAGGGGGGTTCCCCTGCCCCAGAGCGAGGCCAATGCCATGGACGTCGTGGTTCGTTTCGCGCTGCAGCAGCTGCGCTTCGCCCCCCCCAGCATCGTGGTGTACGCCTGGTCCATCGGGGGCTTCACCGGTACTGGGCAAACTGGGCAAACTGGGAAAGGGTTTAATGGGGGGTTTGGGGTCACTGGTTTGTACTGGGAGCACTGGGGGAATCGTCCATCGGGGGCTTCACCGGTACTGGGCAAACTGGGCAAACTGGGAAAGGGTTAAAGGAGGGTTTGGGGTCACTGGTTTGTACTGGGAGGGACTGGGAAGGGGCTGGAAGGGGTTAATGGGGGTGTGGGGTTACTGGTTTATACTGGGAGGGAACTGGGAAGGGTTAACGGGGGATCTGGGGTTACTGGTTTGTACTGGGAGGGACTGGGGGGGCACTGGGATTGGGGTTCAGGGTACTGGGAGGACACTGGGGCCAATCCCTGACCCCTGACCCATTTTGGGGCAGTTCTGACCCATTTTGGGCAGTTCTGACCCATTTTGGGCCCATTTCTGGGTGATTCTGACCCATTTTTGGGCCCATTCTGGGGCTGTTCTGACCCATTTTGGGCTGTTCTGACCCATTTGGGGCCCATTTTTGGGTGATTCTGACCCTGTTTGGGTGATTCTGACCCATTTTTGGGCCCATTTCTGGGTGATTCTGACCCATTTTTGGGTGATTCTGACCCATTTTTGCCCCCCAGCCACCTGGGCCGCCATGTCCTACCCCGAGCTCGGGGGTCTCGTCCTCGACGCCTCCTTTGACGACCTCGTGCCCCTGGCCCTGAAGGTGCTGCCCCGCAGCTGGCGTGAGTGGACACCCCAAAAACAGCCCTAAAAATACCCCAAAAACCATCCCAAAACACCCCAAAAACCATCCCAAAACAGCCCTAAAACCATCCCAAAACAGCCCTAAAAATACCCCAAAAACCCCCCAAAAAAACATCCCAAAACAGCCCTAAAACCATCCCAAAACAGCCCTAAAAATACCCCAAAAAACCATCCCAAAACAGCCCAAAAACCATCCCAAAACACCCCAAAACCATCCCAAACCAGCCCTAAAACCATCCCAAAACAGCCCTAAAAATACCCCAAAAAACCATCCCAAAACAGCCCAAAACCATCCCAAAACAGCCCTAAAAAATACCCCAAAAAACCATCCCAAAACAGCCCTAAAACCATCCCAAAACAGCCCTAAAACCATCCCAAAACACCCCAAAAAACCATCCCAAAACAGCCCTAAAAATACCCCAAAATACCCCAAAAATCTCCCCAAAAAGCTCCCCTAAAAACCCCCCCAAAAACACCCCCCAAGAAAACCCTAAATCACACCAAAAATCATCCAAAAACCACCCCAAAATACCCCCAAAATCATCCCTAAAAACACCCCCTAAATCACACCAAAAACACCTCCAAAAAGGTCTCAAAAAATCCCCCCAAATAAACCTCTGAAAACCCCTAAAACACCCCCAAAAACATCCCTAAAAACACCCCAAAAACATCCCTAAAAACACCCCAAAAACTACCTAAAAACACCCCAAAAACTACCTAAAAATACCCACAAAAACACCCCCAAAAACATCCCCCAAAAAAACCCTAAATCACACCAAAAACAACCCTAAAAATACCCCCCAAAAACGCCCCCAAAAGCCACCCCCAAATCCCCCCAAAACCCTTCCAAAAACCCCAAATCCCTCCAAAATCCCCCAAAAAATTCCCCAAACCAGCTAAAACCCCCCCCAAATTCCCCCCAAATCCCCCCCAAATTCCTCCAACCCCTCAATCTTACCCAAAAGTCCCAAATCCCCCCCAAACCCCAAAATCCCCCCAAAAACCTTCAAACCCCCCGAAAAAAAACCCCCAAAAATCCCCCCAAACCTCCCCCAAAAACCCCAAAATCCCTCCAAAATTCACCCAAAAACTCCCAAATCCCCCCAAAACCCTGCCAAAAGCCCCCCAAAATCCCCAAAAACCCCTCCCAAATACCCCAAAAACCCCAAACTCCCCCAAACCCCACTCAGAAACCCCCTCAAAAACCCTCCCAAAAAACCCCCCAAATACCCCCAAAAAAAACCCCAAAAAGCTCCAAAATCCCCCCCAAATCCCCCCCCAGACCCCCTCCATCCCCCCCAGAAACCCCAAATTCCCAAAATCCCCCCCAAAATGCCCCAAATCCCCCCCAAACCCGACTCTGCCCCCCAGGGGAGTTGGTGACCCAGACGGTTCGGGAGCACCTGAACCTCAACAACGCCGAGCAGCTCTGCAGGTACCCCCAAAAACACCCAAAAACCACCCAAAAATACCCCAAAAACACCCCAAAAATACCCCAAAAATACCCCAAAAATACCCCAAAAACCACCCCTGGCCTTTTGGGGACCCCCAAATTCCCCCCCAGGTACCAGGGCCCCGTGCTGCTGGTGCGGCGCACCAAGGACGAGATCATCACCACCACGTGAGAGACCCCCAAAAACACCCAAAAACACCCAAAACACCCCAAAAACACCCAAAAAATACCCCAAAAACCCTCAAATCCACTCAAACTCCCCTGGGACCCCAAAACCACCCCAAAAACCTCCAAACCCACCGCAAATCCAACCCGAAAATCCGCCCCAAAACCACCCCAAATCCACCCCAAAACAACCCAAAACCTCTGGAATTCCCCTGGGACCCCAAAAACCCCCCAAAACCACCCCAAAAACCCCCAAATCCACCCCAAAACCACCCCAAAAACCCCCAAAACCACCCCAAAACAACCCCAAACCTCTCGAATTCCCGTGGGACCCCAAAACCACCCCCAAAACCACCCTGGGACCCCCAAAATCACCCCAAACCCTCCCTGGGACACCCAAAACCTCCCGGGACCCCCAAAACCACTCTGGGACCCCCCAAAAACCTCCAAAACCACCCCAAAAACCACCTGGGACCCCCCAAAACCACCCTCAGACCCCTCTGGGATCCCCCAAACGCCCCCAGGCCCCCCCAAACGCCCTTGGGGACCCCCCAGGACCCCCCAAACCCCCTCAGGACCCTCTGGGGACCCCCCAAACCCCCCCAGGACCCCCCAAACGCCCCCCAGGACCCCCCAACCGCCCCCGTGTCCCCCCAGGACCCCCCGATGACATCGCCTCCAACCGGGGCAACGACCTCCTGCTCAAACTGCTGCAGCACCGGTGGGGAAACGGGGGAAAAATGGGGGAAATAATGGGGAAATTGGGGAAATGGGGGGGATTTGGGGGGCTGGGAGGGGTCTGGGGCAGAACTGGGGCTGTTTGGGGGGTTCTGAGAGGGGTTTTGGGGGCGCAGATTGGGGGCAATTTGGGGAATTGGGGGAGGGTTTGGGGGGTCCCGGGTGGGTTTTTTGGGGATCCCTGGGGGTTTTGGGGCTCCCTGGGGGTTTTGGGGGGGGTCTCTGGGGGATTTTGGGGTCCCTGGGGGTTTTGGGGGATCCCTGGGGGTTTTGGGGGGGTCCCAGGTGGGTTTTGGGGTCCCTGACCCCCCCTCCTCCCTCGTTTCCCCCCAGGTACCCCAAGGTGATGGCGGAGGAGGGGCTGGGGGCGGTGCGGGAGTGGCTGGAGGCGGCCACGCCCGAGGAGCAGAGTGAGTGACCCCTGACCCCTGACCCCTGGGTGACCCCTGGGTGACCCCTGTGTGACCCCTGACCCCTGGGTGACCCCCGAGGAGCAGAGCGAGTGATCCCTGACCCCTGAGCCCTGGGTGACCCCTGGGTGACCCCTGAGTGACCCCCTGACCCCTGACCCCTGGGTGACCCCTGACCCCTGTGTGACCCCTGACCCCTGTGCGACCCCCGAGGAGCAGAGCGAGTGACCCCTCCACCCCCAAATTTGGGTGGGACCCCGCCCATTTTTGGGGTTCCCACCCCCATTTTTGGGGTCCAGTTTGGCAGTTCCGGGGTTAAATCACCAATTTTGGGGTTTCAAGTTTCCGTTTTTTTTATCCCAACGCCCATTTTAGGGCTCAAACTCTTCATTTTTAGGTTCCAAATCCCCATTTTGTGTCCTAACTCCAGTTCCCATTTTCGGGTTGCAAGCCCCCATTTTCCTATTCTAAAATTCCCAATTTTGGGTCCTAATTCCCCATTTTTGGGTCCTAATTCCCCATTTTTGGGTTCTAATTCCC